AAATACGAGAGCGACACTGAAATTTTTAGAACTGGCCTCTTGTAAACGATATAATAAAAAAATAAGTTCAAATTTTGAAAATGGAACTATTTTTTTTCTTCTGTTATTGTGTAGGTATGTATCTTATTAATCTGTCATTTGTTTAGGATTTGGCGGCAAATTGAAAATTATCTGTGTCACGTTAGCATGAATTTAATGCGAGAAAATTTTCTTACAATAATTTTTTCTGACTTTCGATGTCATTTAAGTCAACACGAAAGTCATGATAGACTTCGATTGGCCGTTCACTTTGAAGCCCCATCTCGTGCCACTGTTTATAACTGGTTTAATGAGTTTAAACGTGGTCGTACTAATCTCACCGATGATCTGCGTGAGGGACGGCCTTCGGCGACGACTGAATATAACATCAGTGTTGTGCAGCGTATGATAGAGACTGACAAAAGAGTGACTTATCAGCAGATTCGGACAAGCTTAGAGATCGGTATGAGTCAAGTGCACAAAATCCTCCATGAACTTTAGCGGTCAGAAATAGTGTTGCCCAAAATCGGTCTTGGTCTTGCAGTCTTGGTCTTGTTCTTGCATTTTTGCAAGACCAAGACCAAGAACAAGACCGCCTAATTTTAGCAAGACCAAGACTAAGACTGACCGTGCAAGATTTGAGCAAGAACAAGACTAAGCCTGCGAGACTCTTGCGTCTTGCAGTTAGGAATGAGTGTCGTTTCAGGGAGTATAGGAGTTCGGGTATACGCTTAGGGAGTCTATGAGACGCAAAAAATATATTAAAAAAATTTGGAAAATTGGACTTATGCGCATTACGAACAATACCATAAACATACATAGGGGATGAAAATATCCATTAAAAGAAAAAACAGTGCATCCCTAGTTTTGACCATCGGCACTTTGATAGTGCGCGGCGTCTTGTTGTCGGCATCATCAAAGGTCGAATACTGACCTGTCAAAGAAATTTTGCAGCTATTCGGAAGTACAAGGTCAAGATACACGCGCCGGCGGCTTCTATTGATATCGCATTCAATCGTCGCCGCCGCGCCGCACGCACTACATTTGACGCTGTTTGAATGCCGCCACAGAGTACATGTTCCAAAGAATAAAATAAGTTTCCGGGTGCTCAGAATGGACACGAATACATTATGCTGATCTCGCAAGGAATATTGTAATTAGATAATGGTAAGGATAGGTAGATACCATAATAATTTATTCCAGTAAGTAATTATTACAATATTAACTATATGGGTTTATAATAATTACTTACTATTATTATTATTACCTAATAGATAAACATGTTCAATAAGTTCACTGCAAATCTCGATTTTTGGAAGTGTGTGTTCGAATATGTCGTCACCCATTTGATAAATATTGTAGACACTTTTAACACACTTGAAACGTGTAAACATTTTGTACAATGCTAATCGAATAATATAAAAAGTGTGCATATTAAATAAAAAGCGTAAAATAAGATCTATGTATTTTTTAGGAGCCCGAGTATCTCTTAGAGAACGGTTTAAAGAAATTGATTGCATCGAATTAATGTAAATAATAGTGATTTGCACAATTTTAATAGTAGAAATAAAAATAAAATCACAATACCTGCTTTCCGGTTACACAAAGTATATAATGCGTTCTTGGGTAGCGATATACGCTTTTATAATAAGATTCCAAAAGAAATGTTAGATCTTTCACCTTTTCAATTTAAGTCAGACAAAAATGCTTGGAACTGACCTCTCGTACTACACAGGGCTAACTAGAAATTTCTAAACCGATTTGGTATCTACATATACATTTGACATTTTATGTTTGACTTATCGCTTTACATAATTATAGTACTATTGTAAAAATATTTTGAAAAGAGCAACTACTGAGTTTCTTACTTTCTTCCATGATTCTTCTCAGTAGAATCAAAACCCCTGGACATGGAAAAGAAAAAATGGGGAAAACAGTGATTATATGACTATTCAAATATGTTTTTAATGCCTACTTGAATAAAACATATTTGAATTTTGAATTTCAAACGAGTGAAGGCAAATTTAATGTAATTAACGTAGATTAATTCAATCACAAGAAGAACATAATATGCACAATTTTATTTACATATTTACATTTCATTTTTACGTAGGCACACTATACCTATCTGGCAACGCATCTACTTTATTAATCTTCTGAAGAATCGTTATTTTTATCAAAGAATGCCGAACTTTCCTTTGTCGGTCTTTCGGCGTGTACTTACAAATAGTAGTATTTATTTTAATTCCAGTCATTCCCAATTGAGCTTTGCTTCGAGTCTAATGTATTAATTGTTTTTATTCTAATCCTTGTTGTTCTCGGAGTGATAAGTTTACAATTTGACATGAGTGACGAAGAGTTGAATAGTTCTAGTCGGAGTAGTGAGAGTTGGAGTTATAGATCTAAAAGACCTAAAAGCAAATTTGATGAGTTTTTCGACATAATTCATGCATCCCAAATTGCTTTGTGTAAATTACGCCAACATAAAAAGGTTGAAATAAAAATGAAAAACAGAAACACTTCAGGCTTAAGGAAGCATCTAATATCTTTCCACAAAAAGGAATCACAAATATTTCTTCCTGAAAAACCAAAATTAAGTGGAGATACTTTGTAATAACCACCGGAAAAAGTGGACAGGTAAGAAAAAATATACTTATCACACAATTACATAACACATATATTATGTACCTAGCGGCCGCCCGCGACTTCGTCCGCGTACAATATCTGATTTCCTATGAGATTTTGAAATTTTCCCGCTGCAAAAGTCTTACTTAAGTATAAAGTGACTATATAGGTAAAGCTTAACTATACAAGTATTTATTATTTAAAACTAATAAAGTAAATGTCGATCTTCATATCTATACTTTAAAAATCTAGGACTTGCATGTAACCATTTTACCCCAATTTCATCCCCTTAGGGTTAGGTTTCGTAAAACAGCTTATTTAGGATTTTTTTATTTGAAACTTATAACTTTAATGCCGATTTTCGTATATCTAACTTCAAAAACGTAGGACTTTCATACAAACTTCCAACTCCCATTTCACTCCCTTAGGGATAGATTTTCTCAAAACCGTTTCTTAACTGATATCTATGCCATAAAAGGAACCTACCTTACAAACTTCAAGTTTGTATGTATTATAGTTCCTGAGATATCGTTATAGTCAGTCACTGAGTGGTAGTTATATATATATAACACGTAACATAATTAACGCACTTCAGAATCGTTTACTGAATCGATTTCCATCATTTTTAATATGGGTAATTTTTTATCCAAAAATAATTGAAACTACGTAATTTACAGTCAGACTAAACCTGTACAGTCAATACAAAATGAAATGGACCGTAACTCAAGGCAATAAGACTTAAAAGTGCAGTGTTATTTGTATTAATACAAATTCAGTCATTCAATACAAAATAAAGAAAATTGAACCTTATTTGAAGTATGTTAAAGTCTTTACAAATACAGAGTTTGGAGTACCTTATAAAGGTCGCGGCAGCCGGGCCATTGACCTCCCAGATCACCTGATTACGCACGTATTAAATATTAATACGTATTAATTCATTAGTTTATTTTAGTGAGACAACAAGTGCCGAGGACCTTAAAATATTAATTCTGTGAGTGAATGATTTTAGAATAGTGAAAAATGACACTGAATTGCTTTCTAAATTATTTTCTTTCTTTTCCTTTTTTAAAACGTAACCTCCACAGTAGGATTTTCTCTTCTATTGTGAGGGCAGTGAACATACATAAATTTCACAAGGACAAATATCCAGACCCGGCACAATTATTTGTAGGCCATACAAATATTGTTCAGTGCGGGATTCGAACCCGCGGTCCTTAGCGCTGCAACTCAATTGCTAAGCCACTGCGCCACGTAGCCGTGGTGGACATTTTGAAAATGTATTAAAATACAACGTTTCATGAGAGTTTAGGCTATCAGTAAGTTAAATATTTGATTCTTAAAATTATTGTAATCTTGATTCACATCATTTAAACACGCCGTCTTTGAATTATGTTTTCGTATTGCCTCTTAGTTTTAGCAGTTGATTATTATTTACAATTACAATTCAAATGTTACGCAAATTCATAACATTTTGTAACGAATATTGCCTATTGACATTGTATCATAATCAATAAACAAAATTATTCAGAGTCGAAAGTCCAATGGATGAAGTGTGATTGAAAGATGCGATCAAATGTTTACTAGACTTAAATAAACAACTCGATGGTCGGAGTACGAACATCAGTTAGTGATCATAGGTAGGTATTTTTTTAACATAAACAATTGTGTATTGTCAGCTTTTTTCGGCACTTATACATACCTACAGTTGTGTCAAGCGGCGGCGGCATTAACTCGTCTCGAACGCGAGCGAATAGGTACCTACTGTGATAGAAAGACCCTCAAAACCTATACCTACGTGAGCGACTGCGTGCGTTCGTGGATTTATACTGTGACCACAAAATTGTTCCGGAATTAGTATAATTAATTTAATAAATAATCAATGCATAAAAATGTTTAATTAAAAAGTCAGTGTATGTATAATGATTATAACATAATATACTTATTGGGGTGTCTGAGGGTGTGCGTTAATTACGTTACATATTGTATATATATATATATATATATATATTATAGTTAGTTATGATTATAGTGTTAAATATGTATTTATAATTCACTCATATTTTCATTTGTTTTTATAATCGGCGAGACACATGATTTACTGTTTTATTTCAGTCTGAAAATAGCACTGACAACATCACGACAGCTACAGTTGATTGCATGGTTAAAAAATATCTTCCCTTCTCATTTTTCGATGACGAAGCTACACAAGTATATTTTCGATCAATTTGCCCAAATATGGTGTTTCCTAAAAGGTCCACATTTAGAAGGAAGGCCAAGGAACGGTTTGAAGAGCTTCAATTGAATCTTAAGAAACGACTACAACAATTTTCATCTAAAATGTCATTTACCATTGATGGATGGACGTAAATTGCTGGTGGGAGTTACTACGGGATCACTATCATTATATAGACAACGAATGGAAGTATCGCTCTGTAGTCCTTGATTTTATACCATCACGCGGTCTACATACTGGGGAAGATATTGCAACGATTTTCCACGAATGTTTATTGGAATATGACATAATTGATAAAATACAGGGTATCGCGGTCGACTACGCAACTGCAAATACCAAATTTATGCATGAATTGGACAAACAGCTGCCACACTTTGATTCAGACAATCAACATTTCCGGTGCTTTGCTCACATTTTGAACCTTGGTGTACAAGATTTATTAAAGACCTTAGCATTACACAGTGAAACTGACAATACGGGACAAGAACAGCAGTATGAAGACAATGAAGACGAAACTGAGGAAGATGAAGAATATGCGCCAAATATTGCTGACTCACGTACAGCTATAACAAAATTACGCAGTATTTCCAGTAAAATAAAAAGAAGTGAGATATTGAAGAGGAAGTTTCAGCCTGCTTGTGAAGTAGCTGGCGTGCCATCAAATCTGAACCCCATACTCGACTGTCCAACGAGATGGAATTCCACACATGATATGATTGGATTTGGTTTAAAAGTGAGAACTGGCATTAACATATTGTGCACTTCTGTCACCGAATTGAATAATTTTCAAATCACAGATAGTGAATGGCAAATACTCGAAAAAATACATAAGTTTCTAATAAACTTTAAACTTCTATCAACGAAACTTGGTGGAGAAAAGTATGTTACATTACTGCTAGTCATTGTATCATTCAATCTCTTGCTCGATAAAATTGAATCCATGGTAAAATAATTAGATGACAAACTTATCGATCCGAAGTGAATGAAAGGCTCATTCTGGGTTTTCAAGCAGCTCGAGACAAAATGCTTAAACATTATAAAAAGAGCAACTGGATTTATTGTACCTCTTTAATTTTAGACCCAAGGCATAAAACTCAGACTTTTGACATGACATTATGGGGGAAGCAAATTAAAACAGAAAGTCTGCGCAAATTTAATGAACTTTATAAAGAATATAAAAGTCTACACTCAGTGAATACATCTCTAGAATCACCAAGAAATGAAAAGAAAGTATGTGAATATGATGAAGATGAAGACGTAATAGACTTTGAGAAACTGTATACATGTCCCTAGACGTCATCTGGATCTGGATCTTTTCATCAAAGCTTAGTTATAGACGAGTTGGAGGAGTACCTAAGTGAACCCAGAGCCGCCAGTTCGGAAGACATTTTAGAGTGGTGGAGGACGCATGAGACAGAATATCCGAGTTTATCGAAGATGGCCCGTGATTTTCTTTCAATACCTGCAACGTCAGTACCTGCTGAGAGATTATTTTCCAAAGCATCATTAGTAATTAGAAAACATAGAAATAGGTTAAGTGATGAGTCAGCCAGATGGTTACTTTGTATTAATTCTTGGTCAAAAGATCTAAAGTAACGTTTAATAAATAGCAATAGGTTTGCGAGACTTGCGAGACTCTTGCTGCAAGACCAGGACCAAGAACAAGACTGAGAGCGCAATACCAAGACCAAGACCAGGTGTATTGGCGCAAGACCAAGACCAAGACTGGCTAAGTCTCGTCTTGTTCTTGCATTTGGGCAACACTAGTCAGAAAGCTTTGTGCCCGGTGGCATATAATTTGACAGAGGCCCAAAAACTCCGTCGTGTTGATTAGTGTCGTGAAATGGTTCAAAGATTTAACGGAGGTGACTCAAATGCTGTGTTCGACATACTGACGTGGGACGAAAGCTGGATTTATTATTATGATCCTGAAACTACGAGACAGTCTGCTGTCTGGGTGTGTCCTTCCGAGGAGTTGCCAACTAAAGTGTGGAAAAAAAATGGTGGCTTCGTTCTTCTAAAGGACAGGTCATTACGCAACAATTGTCTTAGAGGATCGAAAAACAGTTACTGCAGAGTGGTACAATAATAATTGTTTGCCACTTGTCTTAGAAAAAATTCGGGAGAAACGACCTCGCAGTAGGATCCTCCTACACCACGACAACGCCGCGTCGCACAACGACAAGCAAACAATTGACTACTTGGCGACGTCAGACGTGGAATTACTGGGTCACTCGCCTTATAGCCATGACACCTTGCGATTTTTATTTATTTCCGAAAAAGAAAGAAAAACATCGAGGAAAACGTTTTATGGACACCGAGAAAGCAGTGGCTGCGTTTCAAAATGCAACCTATTGTCTATATCAAGAGTAGAAACAATATTGGAACTGATAAAAATAGCCAAACCTTTAAAAGGTACAATAAATGCTTAATTTGTGATTTCCTTTTGAGTTTCAGTAAAAATACCGCAGAAATAGGCGCCCTTATCTTATGTAATTACATGGAAAATGAATTACAGCATTTATACGTCCTAGAGCTGGGTACTATGTATATACCTCATGTCTTCGAAATGATTTTCCGAAAAATATTACAGAAAATAAGTATTTTTTTCAACAGTAAGTAATTTATTCCAATGAATACGGCATTACCTAATGATTGAAGTTATGTAAATCATTATGTAAGCAACTCCATTGGAACACTACATTGAAGAATATCTGGACTGTTGTCGGAGGTCTCAGAAACAGAACCTTTCTTACTGGCGTTATGTCATCAAATCCTCCTTATTCTCGAAAATAATGGAGTCCATTATTAACTGTCAGCTCTTGCGGTACCTTGAGGAGCACCAGCTGATTAGTGACCACCAGTACGGTTTCCGTCGGGGTCACTCAGCTGGTAATCTTCTTGTTTACCTAACACACATATGGGCGCAGGCAATCGAGTCCAACGGGGAGGCTTTGGCGTTTAGTTTGGTTTTTATACGTGGTAGAGCCATGCTGCAGCTATATTAGTAGTATAGTTGTAGCACGAATGGGTCGGCTAGACCGGGGAAGGACCACACTCTCACAGAATACCAGCGTAAAATAGCAGTTTAACACTGCTGTGTTTCGTTTCTGTGTATGTTGAGTGTAGAGAACCGGAGACCCTTTTTACTGGAAAAGAGGCATTCCATCTTAGTGCTCACGGTGACAACGCATCTGCATTTTGATTCGCAAACGAGGATAAATGTAGATGTCTATGGGCCACAGCAACCACTTACCATCAGGTGGACTGTGTGCTCGTTTGTCACCCTATCCTATAAAAAAACGTAACGAAGGTCTTCGATTGGGTTTGGCACAAAGCGCTTCTTTCGAAGCTTCCTTCCTATGGACTTCCCGAGAAATTGTGCAATTGGATCACCAGTTTTCTGGATGATCGGAGCATCAAGGTCGTAGTAAACGGTACATGCTCCGATTACAAGCCTATTAACGCCGGTGTTCCACAAGGCTTCGTGCTGTTTCTTCTCCTTATCAATGATATGTTGCAAACGGGTAACATTCATTACTATGCGGACGACAGCACTGGTCATGTTTTATACACCGGCCGTGCAAAAATTTCTCGGGAAAACGTCGCCGAATACCATAACAAACTTGTGTCTGAAGTCGAGACTTTGTTGAACAAAGTCTCGGATTGGGGGCGACTAAATCTAGTCCAGTTCAATCCCCAGAAGACACAAGTTTGCGCGTTTACCGCTAAAAAGAACCCCTTTGTCGTGTCTCCTCAGTTTCAGGGCACTACCTGTGCTGCCTTAGCCAGTATCGGAATCCTCGGCGTCGACATATTGAATGACGTGCAGTTTTGTGGTCACTTGAAAGAGAAGGCCAAATTGGTCTCTAAAAAGCTTGGCGTGCTCAGCAGAGCGGGACGGTATTTCGAGCCGGCACATCGCCTGCAACTTTACAAGGCGCAGGTTCGGCCGCACATGGAATACTGTTCCCATCTCTGGGCCGGAGTCCTCAGTGCCAGCCCCTTCCATTTGATCGCATCCAGTGAAGAGCGGTTCGAATCATCAGTGACCGAACTCTTTCTGATCGGCTGGACTCACTGGCGCTGCGAAGAGATGTTGCATCTCTTTACGTATTCTATCGTATCTACCAAGGGGAGTGCTCAGAGGCATTGGTCGGACTAATTCCAGCCGCTCAATTTCACCATCGCACATCCCGACAGAACTCGAAATACTATCCGTACCATCTGTCAGCACTGTGCGATTTAGAAGAAGTTTCCTTTCTTGCACAACTTCCTTGTGCAGTCGGATACCACCAGCAGTGTTTCCGAACCGATACGACTATGGGACCTTCAAGAAAAGAGCCTACTCGTTTTTAGAAGGTCCGCAACGCATCTGCAATTCCCCTTGTGTTGCAGTTGTTCATTGGCGGCGGCAGTTACTTAGCATCAGGTGAGCTGTATGCTTGTTTGTCCCCCCTCTCATATAAACAACAATTATCATCAATTGGTAAGTTAAGGCAGAACTAATTTTTTATTTCAAATATCTATATATATAAAAGGCAAACCTGACTGACCTATTTATCAACGCACAGCCGAAACTACTGAACGTATTTCGCTGAAATTTGGCAACAGACAGTTGTGAAGACGTAGGCATCCGTTAAGAAAGCATTTTTGAAAATTCGCCCCCTAAAGGGTTGAAAACGGGGTTAAAAGTTTGTATAGAAGTCCGTCATTTTTAGAGCTAGAAGCCTGAAACTTTGTTTTTAGGTTAATGATAAACCACTACGTGTCCTTTTGAAAATTAAACCCTAAGGGGGTGAAAAAGGGGTTGAAAGTTTGTATGGGGAAACAAGATTAGTTAAACTATTTTATTCGAAACTTCACAGGAGTACTCCTATAATAACAAGTTTTTCAGGCTCTTTCAGAATTCCATCCCTAAAAGGTGGAAAAGTGACAAATTCTGAAAATCAACATGGGTTTTTATGGCTTATCGGGTCGCTGATTACGAAAACAACAACTATTTCAAAATCCAACGTAGCAGACGGGAAATACCTACCATCATTCCCTGCGGGGGTGCGATGTGGTTTAAATGTCAATATGGGTGTCGTTTTATGGTTTTTTGGGACGTTAATCAAGAAAATGGCATCGATTATGGTTTGAAACTAACATGGATGGAAGGATGGATGAATGTATGTTTGTATGTAAAAATCATCATGGGTTTGGGTGACTAGGGTGTAATTTTTAGGTTTTTGGGTCGTAAATAACGTAAATGATATTGATAAATATTTTAAACTGAATTTATTAGAATAGAATAAAATATACTTTTATTGTACAAAAACATAAAAGAAAATAGACAAGAAGATTTGTGCAAATAATTTGCAAATAAAAAAAAATACTACTTACTTTAAAAATTAAAAAGCAATGAAAATAAATAACCAAACCAAATATAAAAGGCAAAACCAAAAGAAATACTTAGGTACCTACCTATTTTATATTGATCTTCAAGTTCCAATCCCTACCAATAGATGATGTTGGTATCGTTTTATAACGCGGTGACGTTGTGTTTTTTCGAACTAATATAAAGTGAATAGTGAATGAGCGCCTCAACCTGTACCACATACGAAACCTATTCACTGTTAACGGATATTAGACTAAACTTCGGTTTTGTTTACTTGCTTACGCTTGAAGATTTGCTTCGTGTTTCGGATTAGTTGTTTAATTTTGTCTTTCTTACAACCACTATTCAAACTTAGAATTCGATTTGCTTTGTGATTAGGATTAGGTATTGTTTTGTTGATAGAAGTATTTTTTCTCACTGAAAAAATGACTACAGAAACTCTTAATATTAAAGGAAAAAGGGAAAGGATTACGATTTAGCCATAATTTATCAAACGTACATTTTGGCGCCTATCTGCCTATTTTGCGAAGAAAATTACACAACGTCACATACAGGTATCTGTCGAAGAGCGTGATCCTTTTTCAGAGCTTGACCATTTAACTTACATCTTTTGTAAACAGTGAATTATCATCTCCAACCAGCGGAACAGATCAATCTATATCAACAACATTAAAATATGAAAAGAAAAATAAACGAAGGTTGAGATTTACTAATAACACAAGAAAAAGTCAATTAAAAAGTGCACAAGAAAGATATAGGCAGAACAAGCCAGATTCAAATCGTAAAGCTGTGTCCGCTTATCAGAAAAATCCCGATGTACACAGGCAAACTGTTGCAAATTACCAAACTGCGAATCCACAAGCGCATAGAGCAATTCAGTAACGGTATGAGGAAACTTTACACTGCGTTTATGGAAAATCAAGGTCCATTCCGCTATGGAGTATGACCCTGAAATTGCTTATAGAACTGACAGCAGATGAGTTCTATGACATACAAGTTTCAGTGGTGCAATACGCTGAAATGAAAGGATGAGACACCTGGTATATGTTGCAGCGCTGGAAAAGTGCAACTTGATCAGTTGAAACAACTGCCTGAACCACTCTTTAGTTTGATTAATGATCTACACCCAGATCATGACAATTTTATGGCTAATATTCGTAAATATAATGCCTGTTTCCAGATGACTTCCTTTGGTGGTAAAAAGGTAACAGCAGATGGCTTTTCACCGGCTTTTAAAGTACAAGGTCAGGTCTACCATTTAACTGGAAGTATATTAACAGAAGCCGAACTTGACGCTCAGTACCTTCAAATATATTTTGTAGGTGAAGATGATCGAGAAGCAAAGATTCGATGTTCTAAATTTCCTAACTTAAAGCCAAATTTAATCAAAGAATTGCAGAATAAGCTGCATCAACCGAACCCGTATATAAAAGATCTGAAAAATGCCATTGATAAAATCCCTTCTTCAGAGTCATACAAAGTTGTCATACATGCTTATAGAAAACCACCAGAAAAACATAGAGGTAGGTACAATGCACCAACTACAAATGAAGTGGCTTTAGTGTTAGTGGATCAACAATTTGATCAAAGGGACATCATCATCATCATATGATACGCTACAGTATCCATTGATGTCTTGCTGGGGGGATGATGGGTATTCAATCAACATACCACAACGCGATGCCACAACTAAGTTGCCGCTTAATAAAACTGTCTCTTCTGCAAGTTTCTATTCGTATAGAATAATGATTAAAGAAGGAGAAGATAACTATTTAGTCAACTATCGTGCCCTTTTTAGTCAATGAATGATGAATACGCCAAAATAGAAACAGAGAGATTAAATTATATCAAAAATAATCAAGCCAAATTACGTGCAGAAGCCAACCAACTAGGACCAATGGTTGTCCTTCCATCATCTTTTACGGGGGTCCTAGGTATATGCACGAAAGTACACAGGACGCTATAACCTATGTTAGGAATTAAGGCCGGCCTGATCTTTTTATCACTTTCACATGCAATCCTCGCTGGGACGAGATAAAAAACCAATTGCTTCAAGGACAACAATCTCATGATAGACACGATATAATTTCGAGGGTGTTTCGACTAAAGGTGAAAAATAATCATGAACTTATTGACAAAGGGCAAAATATTTGGTGAATTGCGAGGTTATATATACTCAACGCAATGGCAAAAGAGAGGTCTTCCACGTATTCATATTCTTTTATAACTTCACAAACGTATTACTCCGGATCAAAGCGACAATATAATTTGTACTGAAATACCGGATCCCAAACGTGACCGAGAACTTCACGAAATCATTAAATGTAATACGATACATGGTCCTTGGAACTTTAAATCAAAAGTCACCATGTATGAAAGATAACATGTGCAGTAAACGATACCCCAGGGCTTTCACAAGGGAAACTTCAACTGGTGAAGACAATTGTCCACAGTACAAGAGACGTTTACTAGATGACGGTGGGTTCTCTGTTGATATTAAAGGGACAATCATAGATAATCGCTGGGTAGTCCCTTATAATCCAGTATTATTAAAAACCATTTTTCCATTCATGAGCGTCTCCCTCCCGTAGTCTACCTCGCTGTTCATTTGGAAAATGGGCAAAGGGTTTATTTTAATGAGCAAAATCTGAGTGAAAGAGTGGATAGTCATCCAACAACCACACTCCTATCCTTTATCGATTTGTGTAAAGTGGATAACTTTGCAAAATCTACCTCGTTCTACCTAGAAGTACCTGCATACTATGTTTGGGATAAAATAAAGTCAAAAAGGAGAAAGAGAGGAGCAAACATTGAAAGCTGGCCAGGGAAAAAGAGGACGTCCTGGGCAGGGTTTATACTGTGCATCCGAACAATACAGAATGCTATCACCTTCGCATGCTTCTTCATGAGATCCGGGGCCCAATTTCGTTTGAAGCGTTAAAAGCTGTAGATGGTCATGTATATATCACGTTCCAATCAGCGTGCAAAGCTCCCGGCTTGCTTGAAGTTGATCGGCATTTGTTCACAGCAATGGAAGAGGCAGCACTTTGCCAATCACCGCAAATAATTGGGCGTCTTTTTACGATTATTCTATTGTTCTGCCAAGTATCAGACCCTTTAAGCCTTTGGGAGAAATTCAAAGAATACCTATCTGAAGATTTTAATAGGCAATTAGAAAGGCAGGGAGATGTGGATGTAGAGCACATAACAGATGTGGTATTTAACAAATCCCTTTCGGGAATAGAAGATGCCGTATTAGTGTTGGGTGATCAGCTACTAAAAGAGTATGGGTTACCTCAGCCAAGCAAAGAACAACAATTTGAAAATAGAGAGTTTCTTAAAGAGACAAGTTACGACTTAGCATCATTAGAAAACACAGTTAAAAATAATGAAGGATCACTGAGCTGTTTACAATCAAATTAACACAAAAGTTGAATCAAATGAGGGTGGAATATAATTTTTAGATGCTCCCGGTGGAACAGGCAAAACATTACTCATGAATTTGCTATTGGCAAAAGTTAGAAGTACTCACGGAATTGCTTTGGCTGTGGCTTCTTCTGGGATCGCAGCTACACTGCTTGAGGGTGGACGAACTGCTCATGCTAACTTCAAGTTACCACTCAATTTAAGAACAGCTGATATTCCCATTTGTAATATATCAAAACAAAGTAATTTTGCTGAAGTATTAAAACATACGTAAATGATAGTGTGGGATGAAATAACCATGGCTCATAAGGGTGCGTAGAGGCTTTAAACAGAACTCTACAATATCTAAGAGGAAATAAGAAGTTAATGGGTGGTGTAACGGTTTTGCTGTTTAGAGATTTTAGACAGACTCTACCAGTAGTGCCAAAAGGAAGTAGAGCAGATGAAGTTAAGGCGTGTCTTAAGAGATCTACTTTATGGCCTCTAATTAAAATCCTCAAACTCTCGAAAAATATGCGGGTACACTCAGGAGAAAAAGAGTCTGCTAGTGGATTTGCGAATCTCCTACTTGAAATCGGCAACGGTGATTACCCGATAAACGACGGAATGATAACCATCCCTGATAATTTGTGCACAGTTGTATTTACTTTACAGGAGTTAATATCCAAAATTTACCCATATATTGCTCATATCCACGATAAACTAATGAAATGGTTGTGTGAACGTGCCATACTAACCCCGAAAAACGACAAAGCAGCGGTAATTAACGATATACTGTTAACGTCTTTTGAGGGGGATGAAATGGTGTACACGTCAATAGACTCTGTGGTTAACACAGATGATGCAATTAACTACCCTGTCAAATTTCTTAATTCACTGAAACCATCGAGTCTTCCACATCATGAGCTTATTCTGCGCGTGGGCACTCCTGTTATGTTGTTGCGAAATTTATAACCTCCTCAACTGTGCAACGAAACCAGACTAAAAGTAAAAGCATTATATCGCAATGTAGTGGAAGCCACAATTATAACTGGATGTGCGCAAGGGGAAACTGTATTTGTACAAAGAATTCCCTTGATCCCGAATGATCTTCCCTTTGAATTCAAACGAATACAGTTTCCCCTGAAAGTCTGCTTTGCAATGACCATAAACAAATCACAAGGGCAGACATTAAAATTTGCGGGTATAGACTTGAGAGAATATTGTTTTTCACACGGGCAATTCTATGTGGCTTGCTCACGCGTAAGCTCGCCCAGTAGTCTGACAATTTTGGCACGCAGTAATAGATTAGCAAAACATGTGGTGTCTATAGAAGTTTTGTAGTTTACTAGCTTTTGCCCGCGACATCCAGTTATAATTGTGGCTTATACCAGCAGACTCTTTTTCACACATGGGCGCGATATAACCGAACTCCACGCGGACGAAGTCGCTGGCAAAAGCTAGTATAATCTAAAATGAAACAAAATATTACGTGAATTTCGGTCACAACAACCAGTCTAACCAGAAAATCTGTACAAAACAGGAATATAATATACGAGTGCATGCCCAAGCTGAGGTGCATTCTCTAATCCATATATGGGCAACAACCAGCCCGCGGGCCGGATCCAGCCCGCGAGACATTTTGAAACAACCCAATTAAAAAAAATATTACATTAGGTACTTATATTCACGGGAGTGACAGTGAGGCGGCATTTGCCGCCTCACACTTTGATAATTGCCGCCACTCGGCTTGCTTGATCAAATTCTTTGAGGTTTGCCGCCTCACGAGCGACATATCAAAAGATTTATTGCTTCTCAATTATTCTAAACTAGTTTTATTCCAGATTATTCCATCATTTTGCCTATATAAGCGGGTGGATGGCCCGAACGTTAGTTCAATTCTATTTGAGCTACCGAGGTGACAACTTGGACAAGCGATATCCTAGCGAACTGCTCGAGCCGTCAACGTCTTGAGTGGTTACTAACTATAGTTTGTTATTAAGTTTATTGAACGAAAAGTAAACAACAATGATGTCTGGTGGAAAGAAACAAAAAGTAGATACAGAGGGTCGCCAGTTTCAAGAAAAATGGACTGAAGAATTCTTTTTTATCTTGCACAATGCTAAGCCTATTTGTTTGCTGTGTAATTAATCCATTTCAGTAATGAAAGAATTCAATATAAAGAGGCATTACTCAACTAAGCATGCTAGGCTGCACTTACTGACAGGACTATTAAAAACAGAAAAAATCCACACCGCAAATTTGGAAAAACAGCAACAAATGTTTCATAAACAAAGAACAAAACTTGATAATGTTGTGAAAGCTAGTTTTATACTTAGCTCAAGATTGGCAAAGGCATTAAAACCATTTGCCGAAGGAGAATTTATCAAGGAGTGTATGTTAGAAGTTTGCGGTATTTTGTGTCCTGAAAAGAAAAATGAATTTGAAAAAATTAATTTGTCGAGACGAACTGTTGTTCGACGTATAGAAATGATGACTAATGATATAAAAACAACATTGACTGACCGTATGGCTGGTTTTGAATCATTTTCCATAGCATAAGACGAAAGCACCGATTTGTCTGACACAGCTCAACTAGCTATATTTATTCGAGGTGTTGAAAGGAGTTCACTGTTACTGAGGAATTGCTTGCTTTACAGCCGCTAAAAGGAACCACTACAGGAGAGGATATTTTTATTGAAGTTCAAAAGGTATTCACAAGTTTTGGCTTGCCATGGTCAAAATTTATTGGAGTATGCACTGATGGTGCACTTTCTATGGTCGGCTTACGTAAAGGTTTCATCGGAATTTTGAATGAAAAAGCAACAGAATTAAATGTACAAAAAGATGATTTGATAGTCCTTCATTGCATTGTCCACCAACAGAACTTGGGTTCCAAGTCCATTCGAGTCCAGAATGTTATGAATGTGGTAGTAAAAACCATCAACTTTATTCGATCCCGAGGGCTTAACCATCGTCAGTTCAAGGCGTTTTTGGATGAAATATCAGCTGAATATAACGACGTAACATATTGTTGTGAAGTCAGATGGCTGAGCAAAAGAAAAATGTTGAAACGGTTTTACGAGCTTAGAAATGTGATAGCTGACTTTATGAAAATAAAAGATAAACCACTATCTGAATTAAGTAACCCAAAATGGATATGTGACTTGGCATTTCTGGTCGATCTTACAGGCTGTCAGGACAGTTAGTAAATGATTTGTACAACCTTTTGAAAGCGTTTCAGATCAAACTACGCTTGTGGGAGTCACAGATGCTGTTTGGCAATAGTTACCATTTCAACACGCTCTCTGCGTATGAAAATATTGCTTATGCTCAATATGCTGAAGAACTCAAGTTACTGTCGGAACAATTTTCGAACAGATTTAGCTACTTTTAATGTTTCAGTTTATTCGCTACTCCTACAAAATATAATGTACAAAATGCTCCAATACATTTACAAATGGAGTGGATCGAGATTCAAGAAAACTCACTCCTAAAATCCAAATTTGAAGACGTAGAGTTGTGCGATTTCTACAAAAAATACCTAGAAGAAGACAATTTTCCGCAGCTTAGAAAATTCGCAAGAAGATTGATTTGTGCGTTTGGCAGTACTTATAAATGCAAACAGTTCTTTTCATTGATAAAAGTTAATAAATTGGAAAATTCTTTACGTCTTTGTATCAGTGGAATTAATCCAAATATCGATGGATTAGTTTCCCAAATTCAAGTTCAAGTGTCTCATTGATTTCGGTGTATTTAACTTTCGTAGTTTGTAACAATTGCAAATTTAACGATTTAATTATAATGTACCATTTTATTAAATTTCATTTTGTTATTTTAATAAATTGTACTATATTAACATTGTCGTATTATTTCATGTCTAATATCTATCGCAAAAAATATTATCACTACTTTAAAATGCAGGAAGTACTTTTAAACGCGGCCCGCGAACGTATTTGCACGCTAAAGTTTGGCCCTCTACATGTCAAAGGTTGCCCATACCGCTAATCTAATCCCTTAATCATATAATTCGGTCCGATGTGACGGTAAAACGACACGACCGGAGAGAGATCAGGCGCAGGACCAACGACTTAACGTGCTTTCAGAGACAGGATTATAACACCGCCAACTTCCTGACCCCGGGCTGATACTAAGAATCTCTTGACGAAAGAAAAACAAATAACTGGTATTTTCCCGGCCCGGGATTTGGAGGCGGGATTACACGATCAGCAGCACTAGATCAATGAGACAATTAAAATAATATTTCTATATTTAAAATAACACTTATAAATATCCGACACGGACTATACCATAAACATATGATTGTAAGACTATGAAATTATAAATTAATAGGTACATACATAATTAGTGTTGACTTTAGTATTCGATTACTCTAAAATATTTCTTCAGTAATCGAAAGTCCGTGATAACTAAAAGTATTTTAGTAAATAATTTTTAATTAAAAATAATATAAATACATAGAATGGGGGTCATTGTAGAAGCGTGCTCGTCGCGACCCCTGCCAGCCCTTTTCAGGGCTGCAATTCTACTCAGCTGCGCACCCATGTCAACGAGGGTTAGGGCGTCCCCCCAAGGCGACGCACACCAGCTCGTCCCCGTTGGTGTGGAATGCAGCGCGCAAAGCGGCGATGGGGACCGCCACCCGTCACGCACAGCCCGACACGGCGGAAGGTGGAGGACGGAGTGCAGAGTTGGCACGTGGAATGTTAGAGGAGGCATGAGAGATAAGACGAATGAGTTGATCGAAATAATGAAAGAAAGAGAATTAGATGTCGTGTGTATGTCGGAGACCAAACGGAAGGGCAGTGGTACTGAAGAGCTCCCTGGCGGGGCGTTAGCTCTATGGTCCGGAGTCCCGGAGAGCGAGAACGCCTGCCAGGGAGTGGGGGTGCTGCTGTCTTCTCGGTTGGTCGATGTTTTGACTGAATATAAGTTTGTGAACTCAAGACTTCTCTGGGTTCGCTTTAAATTGGGACTGACGAAGTTATTCCTTTTGGCTGTTTATGCGCCGGTGGCTTCGTCGTCCAGGGCTGAGCTGGAGGAGTTTTGGGAGAATGTAAGAGAAGTTCTAGATTTGGCTAGAGGAAACGAAAGGATTGTTGTATGTGGTGATTTGAATGGATGGGTTGGTACCGCTCGACCAGGGTACGAGTCGGTACTTGGAAAGTTTGGCGATAAAAGGGTTAATGATGCTGGCAAGCTTATACTGGCGGTATGCAAGGAAAAGGGTCTTCTTGTGACAAACACTATGTTTAATCACAAGAAAATCCATATGTATACTAGAGAAAGAAAGAATGAGAGAAGTATGATCGATTTGTTCCTGGTGGATGACCGACTGCGAAAACAGGTCATGGATACGCGAGTGTTCAGGGGTGCTGACCTGGGAACGGATCACTATCTAGTGATTACTAGATTTAGGGGTCTGTTCGCGGGTTGGCGCTACCGGACGACAGTGACAGAACCACAGTCGGTCTGTCGCATCCGAAGCTGGAAGCTTCAGGAAGCGGATACTAGGGACAAATATCATGCGAGGGTAGCCGAAAAGCTTGACACCATCGATGGCAGAAACGAATGTGTAGAAAGAACATGGCAGAACCTTAGGGATGGAATGGTAAGTGCAGCGGAAGAAGTGTGTGGAACAATAAAAAGAGGCAGTAGTAAAAGAAGAGATGCATGGTGGAATGATGAAGTGAAAGAAGCTGTAAAGAAGAAGAAGAAAGCATGGTTAGACTACTTGGCCTCTAGTAATGATAAGGATATGAGAGAGAAGATGAAAGAAAGATATAAGCTGCAGAAAGTTCACACGAAAGCATTGATTGAGGAAGTGCGTGAAAGGTGTAGAATGGAAGCGGATGAAAGGTTGTCGCACAACTTTAAGGAGAACTCCAAACTCTTCTGGAAAGAGGTTGGAAGGACCCGAAGTGGTGCGACGGCCTTAAGAATGAACAAAGTGCTTTCGAGAACTAATGACGTCCTCTCAGAAAAATCGGACGTCATGCAGCGATGGAGCGAATTTTATAGAGAAATGTATGCGTGTGATGATCTTAGTGAGGGATCCGGGGATTACGCCGTGACTGGCACGCCAGACCCGGACCTCGATGACACTGAGGTCATCAGTATGAAAGAGATTGAACGTGCGATTCGAAGTTTGAAATGTGGTAAGGCTGCGGGACTAGACAGAGTTACTGCTGAAATGGTCAAGTATGGTGGGCCTCGCGTCTGGGACAGCTTTCATCTGCTGTGCAATTTGTGCTGGCGGACGGGGGATGTCCCGGATGATTGGCGATCCGCAGTCATTGTGCCTTTATATAAAGGTAAAGGTTCACATTTTGACTGCGGGTGCTATCGGGCGATCAGCTTGACCAGTTTAGCAAGTAAAGTTTACTCGAAGGTTTTGACACGTAGAATGCAAGAGAAATCGGAAAGATTTCTATGGGAGGCACAATGCGGATTTAGACCTGGAAGAGGATGCACGGATCAAATGTTTTCTCTCCGTATGATCACGGAAAAGCTTCTGGCTGTTAACCAGAAGATTTTCTGTGCTTTTGTGGATCTTGAGAAAGCATTTGATAAGGTTGTAAGGAAGAAAATGTGGGAACTGTTGCCGGGGTATGGTGTGGATGGCCGATTGCTAAGGGCTGTGCAGTCTCTTTACTGTGACTGTAAAGCCTGTGTGCGGGTAGGGCATGACCTGTCACCCATGTTTAGCGTCCAAACGGGCGTAAAACAGGGTTGTGTCATGTCTTCCTGGCTGTTCATACTGTATCTCGACAGCTGTTTACAAAAGCTGAAAGATAGCTGTTTGGGTGTGAAATTGGGTGACATAAAAGTAAATTGTCTGCTGTATGCTGATGATGCAGTGCTTATTGCACCATCAGAGGCAGAACTGCAGGCATTAGTCACGTGTATGAAAGAGGAATGTGAAATTAAAGGTCTCCGTTTGAATGCTAATAAAACTAAGGTTCTGGTATTTGAAAGGGACGAAGAGAGAACGAAGTGTGAAATATGGGTAAATCAGGAATGTCTAGAACAGGTAAATGAAATTGTATACTTGGGGAGTGCTTTTAGCCGGGATGGAAGATGTGATTTAGATGTGGACAGGCGTGTCGCTGCCGGGAACAAAGTCAATGGTGCCCTGACTGCGTTAGTCAAAAGGCAAGGCGTAGCGAAGAGTGCACGCCTTGCAATACATAACGCAGTGCTGGTACCGACTTTGTTATATGGCAGCGAAACCTGGGTATGCCAGAAGAAGCATAAAAGTAAGTTGAATGCAGTGGAGATGCGATCTCTTCGTAAAATGTGCGGCGTTACCATGGCCGACCGAAAGCGAAACGAAGAGATTCGCAATATGGCAGGTTTGAAAGATGACCTTATCACAAAAATTGATAAGGGCGTGCTTCGGTGGTTTGGGCACGTTGAGCGAATGAGTGAAGACCGAATGGTGAAGAAAATATATAGCGCGAAAGTTAATATTAAAAGGTGTCGAGGTAGACCGAGACTAACTTTCGAAGACCATGTGAGCAAATTGCTCGAAGAGGGTA